TTTCAAATATATATATATAAGCTTGTTTTTTTCAATTTTGATCAGTTTTTTTCAAACCTCTTTATCATGACTAAAGTTACCGGTAATTATTTATAAGCTTTTTTTTTTTCTTGAATAGCATGCTTATTAATTTAAACATTTACTAGTATGTAACCCGTTGCTTACGCTGACAGGCTATTGTTAAATTATAAATAGGATAGATTTTACTATATAGCATATATAATAAGAATATATCAGATATAGTATTAAAGCTCGTCATAAGGTGACAGGCTATATAGTAAGATATAAATATTGTACATACGTCAAATTAAATTATTGTTCATTTTATATGAACATGTGAATTTTTTTTGCCTTGATATTTTTGTCACGAAATGACATCATCATTTGTCAAAATATCAGGGAAAAAACATCACACGGTCATATAATACAAACAATAATATCGATATTGGTCATACGAAAATAACAGGAAATTTTTTTCATCGTGAGTTAATGTCACTCATGTGCTGCTACGCAGCACATGGAAGTGACATTAACTCCGATGAAAAAAATGTCCTGTTATTTTTCATCATATAACCAATATCTTATAAATATGCGTCGCCTCTAATAATACCTACCCTTACCCTAACATCATATACAAATATGTTACGCATAATCACCCTAAATGTGCCGTGATATTACTTATATTTCATCTGCACTACTTGAATGTGTGCCAAGTTTGTGGCACAGATTTTCTGAACCACAAATCAGATTTCAAGATCAAGCATAACGTAATATGATCAAAAAATTCAAACATTTGTTTCGTCAAAAATTGCTTATTTTCAAAAATCAGCATAAGAAACCACCCTTGATGATCTAACAAAAAGTTTTTGTTGGACAATTTTACTACTCAAACTGCACTCTCTAGCTCCTAACCCTGACCCTAACTCTAACCCTAACATGAACGAATTTTGCTGCGCCACAAACCTGGTACACATTCAAGTAGTGCAGATGAAATATAAGTAATATCACGGCACATTTAGGGTGATTATGCGTAACATATTTGTATATGATGTTAGGGTAAGGGTAGGTATTATTAGAGGCGACGCATATTTATAAGATATTGGTTATATGATGAAAAATAACAGGACATTTTTTTCATCGGAGTTAATGTCACTTCCATGTGCTGCGTAGCAGCACATGAGTGACATTAACTCACGATGAAAAAAATTTCCTGTTATTTTCGTATGACCAATATCGATATTATTGTTTGTATTATATGACCGTGTGATGTTTTTTCCCTGATATTTTGACAAATGATGATGTCATTTCGTGACAAAAATATCAAGGCAAAAAAAATTCACATGTTCATATAAAATGAACAATAATTTAATTTGACGTATGTACAATATTTATATCTTACTATATAGCCTGTCACCTTATGACGAGCTTTAATACTATATCTGATATATTCTTATTATATATGCTATATAGTAAAATCTATCCTATTTATAATTTAACAATAGCCTGTCAGCGTAAGCAACGGGTTACATACTAGTAAATGTTTAAATTAATAAGCATGCTATTCAAGAAAAAAAAAAAGCTTATAAATAATTACCGGTAACTTTAGTCATGATAAAGAGGTTTGAAAAAAACTGATCAAAATTGAAAAAAACAAGCTTATATATATATATTTGAAAGAGACCAGGAAAACTCCCTTTTCAGAAAAATACCAGTATTGCCAATAATCAAGAGGGCAGTCACATGATTTTCTATCCACTTAGTTTTATATAAGGGCTGATCGGACTCATTAAGTGTGACATAAAAATGTGATATATTGGAGGGTAATGCAGATCAGATGATCATAACACTCAATTATAATCATAATTGTAATATCTTCACCCAAACCTTTTTCCTGTTGTTTATGCTCTAAATCTTACTTGTCAAGAAAGTTCTTGTTAGCACACAAAGTAACAACAAAATAGTACCTTATAGCCCTGGGTTTGAACTTCCTTCAAGCTGGTGTTTATGTCAGTTCTGTTTAATCTTCCTTGCAAATATAAAATCACATCTTCTTGCTTATCAATCAGCCCAAGGTTTTAAACAATTTACTATACATTGCCCCGAGAATCTTTTTTATTATGTATTTTATCAAGAGCTAAATTTTGAATATTAACCATCTCAGCAAAGATATAATTGTATATATAAAGAAAGAGAGTGATATCAAAGAATTGGTTATATTTTCATGCATCCTGGTTGGGAAATAAAAAAAAACAAAAGTGGGGACTGTAATAAAAGTAGCAACTGAAAAAAAGACCTTGTGACACAACAAATAGTTGAAACTGAATTCAGGTTTTCTTGGAAGGAACGAACTAATCAAGAAGAATATAACACTGAAACTTATGCTTGGACTTATGGATTTTTAAAGTTCACTTTCGAAACATGTAGACAAAATATAGTTGTAGTATCAACATAAAAATGTTACTGTAAATAAATTTTTTTTGTATATAAAATCTTTGATATAAATAAAATTTTATAACAAAAATTTTCATTAGAATAATCTTGAACCTATGAATGTTCGCTGATTATGTAAATTTATTGCCAGATAAAACTTTATATATAATATTTAAGGTATAACACCGTAAATATGTTCTTTCGAATCTTTTTAACCACCTTTTAGACATCTTAGATCTATTATTTGTGTATTAAAATACTACTGTATACTCAATTGTCTCTGTGTTTTTAAAATCACTACCCAAAACATATATTCTGTATGATCATTAAGCTTATAAATTGATAGAATTGAATTAGTCAATATGCATTAATAAACTCACAATGATGATTTAACTTACTCTTTTAAAAAATTTATTTCTTTGAATAAAGTCTTGAGTATTATGTGACAGATTTTTATAGGATTTTAATTACCACTTAACCAGATTGCCATTCAATAATATGATACAAATATTCTAAGTTGAAACCCAACCATCTTGTTTTCGCTTGTATATTCTTGAATTGTTAATATTTATTTTGAATGAAAAGCATGTGACGAGATTAATAATCTGTATTAAAATGGAAAATGATAAATTAGAACCTTTACATCTTTCTAAAACATACAAGACTTATTCAATCTTGAACAGTAGAGACATAAACACTAGTACACTACTTCTCAAACAAAATGAATATCCACCATCATTGTGGTAATCCCATGAGTTATTTTCTGTTAAGTATATTATAATAATGGAGTATTAAATACAACTATTTAATAAAAGCTCACCATTATTAGATATAGGCATATAAATCATCTAGTATATAATTCACTCTAAGTCTATTTGAATCTATACTAAAAATACTTCAATCCATTAGATTAAGGGTGCTATCAAGCATTTTTCTCAATATGATTGGTTAGTAAATGAGATTGCACACAAGTACTATAATTAATTGAGGTAATTCTTACAAAACTTAATGATCTTGATCATCTTTTTTTCATTGCAATAATGAGCTCACTTGACTGTCACAATTATGTTGTTAATTATGCTAGATAGCACCCTAAATAATTATTTAATTTTTTAAAAGAACTTACAAGTATGTACAATAAAGTTGATATTGGTACGTAATGCATAAAGCTCAATGTTTATTCACATTCAGGTGTTGTGTTTAGATTTTATTCTAAGTTTGTGCTATATACTATTTTTAAATATACTCTTGGGATTTCTGTTTCAGCTATATTTTGATAATAAATGAGCGCTCTATCTTTATCCTTTTCAATCTCTATTCTATTTAATAGCAATAACCAATAAAATATTTCATCAGAAATACTCATTCTGGCCAATTTTTGATAAAATTTGAATGCTTCATATTCATCCTTTGAATTGTAATAATAGTGCAATTGTATTGGTTATTATATATTGTTACCAATTTAGTCAATATGAAAACCTAGTTTTATTTTAAAACTTTAAAATTTTTTTTGCAAAAGATGATGATGTTCTATTAATACGATAGTAAAGCTATCAATTTTCATACAAGAACATGTTGTTTGCTACTGGTACTGAAGAATTACCACCACCCATCGTAGTATCTTCATAGAAAAGTTGAACATGGTTGTAATTTTTTTTTTCTATACCCGAACAGGAAAACCATCATAAAAATAATTTTTTTGCTTTAAGAAACCTCATAAATTTTGGAAGATAACAGGCAAAAATAGGTATATATGGTGTAACATCATTGTTTTGATATAGTCCCTCTTGTAAAATTTTTTTCTCAGAAGTTTCAATTGTTGGTTGACAAAAATTTTTAACCTATTGTTCATATTTTCAAAATTGGCAATATCATCATCTGTTAAATCAACTCTATTATTGTTTTGTATAAATAATAAAAATCATGTCAAAGTTCTTGTATATCTTTACTTTATTGACCTGAAATAAATAAACTGATTGGAAATTTTTTAAAATTACTAATTTGTCTGGTCCCATTAATAATGTCTAATATTATTTTCTTTTTGGTGTTTCGGATTCTTTAAATTTAAAAATTATAATGCCAATAGAATGAATAGTTAATTCTATTTGTTTACAAATTGTTATTTCATTATTATTTTTTTTAATCGTTTATTGAATGTATATGTAATTCATCTAGTATACAATGTTGTTTTTCTAAAAATGATAGAAGGTTTAGATTTTTTGTCCTAAAGTATTATATAAATTTTCATAATCTAAATCTATATTCCAATGATCTGTATTTTTACAATTACAATCTAAGCAAAATAATTTGCTGTTGGTCCTTTAGTATCAAGAATTAAGAATATAAATTTTTAATCAGAACTGAACCAAAATTCAATTTTCTAATGATTATTGGTTGAATCAATAATTCCTTCTGTATTTAAAGTTAATAATTCATCAATTAAAAAATTAAAAGCTTGATTAAATAATTTATATTATTTCATACTAGTATAAAGAAAAATGCAATGTTGATTTGATAGACTTAATACTGCATTGTGTTCATTTAATTTGCAAGCAGTAAACATTATATTATTATGATATTACCAACTTGTTACCATTCTCACTTAATTTGACATGAATAACATCTCCTAGATATAATATTGGTGAAAGACCATATGGTAATTTGGGAATTAAAACAAGTAAAATATTTTTAAGTAATTGATAAGCACCATTTGGTATTATAGAATCTATTTGAACTATATGAACTAGAATTATATCATTTATAATTTTTATTATTTCTTGATGATATTCTTCAACTTTATATACATATTCTATTTCAGATATAATAGTTGCAAGCCAATGATACCTATCATAGAAAATTAAAAGCTTATCACAAGTACAGACAATTGAATCTAGAAGTTGATAAGATTTAGATTTTTTAGAATTTAAATTTTGAAAATTAACATGTAATTTATTTATATTTAATTTTATAGATTTTAATTTCATATTATAAAAATTATGTAATTGAATTGCAGATTCAATTTCACTATGAAGATTGCAAGCCAAGGCTTTAAGCTGTTTTTTTTTTGTGATTCTGATTTAAGTAAATGAAATAGAGATTTTTTTTAATTTGATCTTGATTTTGATTATTATAAATTCACTTTTTTTTTAAATATTCAAGGTCAAACACAAAAAGAATAATATCAGAAAATATAGATTTATTATTGTTATATAATTTCTGGTTTATTATAAATATTAATAAGTATATATAGTATATTATATATTAAATTAATTTTTAAGCTAATTTAACACCAGTCTAAAAGAATAAAGTCACAACATTACTTGCAAATTTATTACTTGATACTGAATTCTTTTTCCATCTTGACTATCTCATATTATTGTATAGATTATTTTACTACCAGAATAATACCAAGTTTCAGCAACAATTTCTATACTACAAATATTAACATTAACTAAATAACTATTAGAAATTAGATAACAGCTTCTTTGAGTTTTTTTAATATTTAAAAGATAATATTCAAGTCGAAAGATTTTATAAAGGTATTTTTTTTTTATTTCCTTCAAGTATAGTTACAAGAATGTTTAAATAATTGTTATTTCCAAAGTATTGGTTTGTAAACCATTCTTTTGTTGCTTAATTTCTTGAAAAGGTTAACGAATTAAGGTGCAAACTTGGAAATTATGAAGTGGAGAACCTTGTGTTAGTAAGTTTTATGTTTATAGAAAGAATATACAACTCTTCCTGCAGATCAATTTTACCAATACCAGAGCAAAAGAGAAAAAACTCTGAACGAAAAAAACTCAAGAAAATACTAATTAAATATATCCCAGGCCCCTAAATAAACTTGTCTAGCATAGCTGGAAACAAAAAAAACCAATAAGCTTTCCAAGAAATTCCTACCAGAGCAACAACTACTGGATGAAAAACAGATAGACAATACTTCCCACAACCTCTCACCCACAAGTGACAAAGGTTCTATGGACCTGTCAACCCTGCCTCAGAAAACATCTCAGGACAACTCACAAACTATTGGCAGCAATACAGATAACAGCCAAATGCAAACCTCTACACAAAATACTCCAATACTACCAGACAACAAAGTGGTTTCTTTATATACTCTCTAGTCTACTTCTCTCACAAGACAACTAGCCCAAAGGCTACAATAGCAATAGCAAGCACATAACAAAAAGACCCAATGACAGAATACATCAAGGAATTCATAAATATTACTATCAAAGACTGGACTAAACTTACCTTTACTGTTTCTTTTATTGTTTCTGACTTTGCCAACAGATACATATTCATCACCGACCTCACCAGGTTGGGATGCATTCCAAACTTGGTTAAATTCTCTGCATAATAGATATGCAAGCACAATAAGGCTAACCAATCAATCCTATTTGATCTTATAAGCTCGAAACGTAACTCTGTAAACATTAATGCCAAACTACTTAGAAGTACTGTAGCTGTGACTTAGAGATAACAATTAAAGCCTACGAAGATACACAAAAGTCCTATGTAGCACCAAAATACTCAAAAGATATACTATTTGTTTCATACAACCTAATACAGTCTGGGAATATACCAAATTTGGCCAGCGATGATCTTACCTTATTTGGTAAATGATCATCAGTCGGATGATTCTAGATTTCATGGCACATGAACATGAACCAAT